CTATTGGCTCTAGAAAAAAAAAAAGAAAACGTGTCAAGCCATGACAACCAAACCGAAAACCGTGTTAAAAAAACAAGGTATATATTGAACCGTGGGCTAATTGTATTGTTGCATCCCTAATATATATATATATATATATACATATACATACATATTTATATATATATATATATATATATATATATATATATATATATATATATATTTACACATACACACACATACATATATATATATATATATATATACAGTTGAAGTCAGAATTATTAGCCCCCCTGAATTATTAGACCGCTTGTTTATTTTTTCCCCAATTTCCGTTTAAATGAGGTAAGATTTTTTCAGCACATTTCTAATCATAATAGTTTTAATAACTCATTTCTTATAACTGATTTATTTTATCTTTGTCATGATGACAGTAAATAATATTTGACTAGATATTTTTCAAGACACTTCTATACAGATTAAAGTGACATTTAAAGGCTTAACTGGGTTAATTAGGTTAACTAGGCAGGTTAGGGTAATTAGGCAAGTTATTGTATAATGATGGTTTGTTCTGTAGACTATCAAGAAAAAATATAGCTTAAAAGGGCTAATAATTATGTCCCTAAAATGGTGTTTAAAAAAATTAAAACCACTTTTATTCTAGCCGAAATAAGACAAATAAGACTTTCTCCAGAATAAAAAATATTATCAGACAAACTGTGAAAATTTCCTTGCTCTGTTAAACATCATTTGGAAAATATTTTAAAAAGAGGAAAAAAATTTGAAGGGGGCTAATAATTCTGACTTCAACTGTATATATATATATATATATATATATATATATATATATATATATATATATATATATACATTAAAAGTATTGTAAATCTACAAGTATTACAAATATACAGACAGACTGTCGTAGTGAATATATTAAAAACAATATATTCCCAGTTTCTGACAGAACGAGGCAGCTATGGAGATGCTATTAAATATGATACTTTGAGTGCATCAGTTACACGTATTTCTCTATAAAAACATTTACATCTATTGTTGTTGAATTCCTTCATCTGACAGGACAAGACAATCAGCAGCCCTGGCAGTGTAAAATGATTCGTCCAGTTACTGCATACCGTCCTGTGCATGCATTCAACTACACACGTGGAGAAGTAAAAAAAAAACACATTGAGAAACTCAGTCTTCCTGAGGCGACTGACGAGCATCCTCAGAGGGGTGGTACAAAGCATACAGAGTCAGTATGAATGTAAATATTGTTCTAATCAGGTGATAAATGTGATTTACCTCATTAAATATCCGGCCCAATCGCACAAGGATACGTAATTATTTTACATATGGTCAGAAAAGTGGCTATTTCATATGACTTCATTTATATGAAGACATACAATTTTGAAATAAAAGAAAGTGCCCCCCACTCATATACCTAATTAACCACTGCTGTGAGATTATCATCATATTTTGCTGAGAAATGCCATATTACAAAAGGAAAATGGGTTATGAATAGTTTTATGTTGTGGCTGGAAGAGCATTTGGCAGTTCGCTCCACTGTGGCGATCCCTGATAAATCTAACAATGATGACGTGGACATCATTAATCTAATTATTTGTCCTAATCCGAATAAGACAATAATATGATTAAAAGTGTTTACATGAGTTTTTTTTTTTTTTTTTTTTAATGTTTTAATGTTAATGTTAAACATAGTTAATGTTAACACAAAGTGTTACTAGTTTAGGAAGTATTGGAAAGGGTGGAGTGAATGGCACACTATGCACTAGGACAGGGATTAAGTTTAGCTCCAGCCTTGCTTTCACCTCAACCTGTAGACTTAAGCCTGAAGGACACAATTAGTTTGATCAGGTGCGTTTAATTGGGGTTCAAACTAAACTGTGCAGAGCTGTGGCCCTCTAGGAACTGAGTTTGACACCTCTGCTGTAATATATGGCAGTACTGCCTCACTGAGAAGTTTTCAAAGAAAATTAATGTAGTCTCAGTGGTCAGATGCCTCCATCTCATTAGGCTAGTGCAAGGGTGGCCAACCCTGTTCCTTGAGAGTCACCTTCCTGCAGATTTCAGTTGCAACCCATAGCAAACACACCTGCCTGTAATTATCACGTGGTGATCAGGTCCTAATTAATTGGTTCAGGTGTGTTTAATATGGGTAGCAACTGAAATCTGCAGGAAGGTGGCTCTCCAGGAACAGGGTTGGCCACCCCCGGGCTAGCGTAACAACAAACATAGCAGCAGGGAAATCTGCCAAGTATTTTGGCAGTGGGATGCTTCTAATTCTGATAAAAATCTTGGGCAGTTGGACATGTTTAAACTGGAGTTGTACTGTATCTGCTGTTAAGTTACCAAAGAGCTTTACTGTTTTGTTGCAACTACAACTATGTTAGCTTCTAAAATATACATGGTATAGGTCCTGAACCACTTGGATATCAAAACGAAAGGTTTTCTTCTATTATTCCCCATTTTAAAGACCCCATTAAACGGCTTCATCAAATGTAATGACAAATGCTGTGTTCACACCAGAGGTGGTAGAAGCATCAAGCGTGAATGATTTACATGTTAAGTCAATGCAAACGTGTGAATAGACACCCTGAGGCGTGAATGACGCAAATTGCGCGAATTGAACGTTTTGCGCATTTGACACGCTTAACGAACATTTCGCGCAAATCGCTCGAGTTCAAAAATCTTAACCTAATCGGACATTTGTGCCGCGTTAATCAATCAGGAGCTCATCCAGGTTAAGTTTTTGGAGAAGTTTATGAGCTCACAGAGCTGGATGCACCTCTGAAAGGATCTAATGGACTCAGACACAGCCCTAAACGTATCGACGCTGTTTTTCAGCCTTCGTAAAGCACATAAACACAGTTATTTTCTTAATAAAGTTATTATGTTAGCCACTTAGGAACGAAGCTAGAGTCACCAGGCAGACAAGAGCTCTGCCCATCACGCGAAACCACGACTGCTCTGAAGTCAGTTTGACGCGCGAATGAAGCTGATTTGATGTGCGAATGAAGTGAGTAAACTCAAATGTTCACGCGACTATCCCCGCGTTCCGCATCTGGTGTGAACACAGCATCATGCTTGATAAGAAAACAGCGATTAATGGTAGAATTATTTTAAAATTTAATACAAATAATATATTTTTAAAATAGTACATGTGTACATCTGAATGTCTTTTAATGGATAATATAATTTTGGATATGCATATTGGTGTAGTTACATCATCCATCTGAAGGTGCTAGTCAATCTAGCGACGATTACCTGCCAAACCAGCACTCTAGAAAACATGATGGGTTGTCATAATCCAACATTGGGTCAAATATGGACAAACCCAACATTAGGTATAACAGCCAAGCATGATTTCTCAACACAATCTCACGGCAATTCGTAACTTTTTCATTTAGCGGCTAATTCGTATGAATTCGTACGATCTAATTTGTACAATTTAGAACGATTTGCTTATCCCCCAATGACGGTTGGGGTTAGGGGTGGGGTCAGGTGCCACGCCTCCTTTTTAAAATCGTACCATTTCGTACGACTGAACTCGTACGAATTCGTACGAATTAGCCACTAAACTGGCAAAACGTAAAATACTTACGTTTTCTCGTGAGATCAGGCTGGATTTCTAGTGTGTGACTAGGAGAAGGAGCATTCTCATTCTAGAGAAAACTTAATTGACCAAATTAAGATGATGTATGATGTGTTCAATAATTTAGTTTATCTCCTCAGAATGGCTGATAATTATATATTTATATACTTCTTATATAAAAAGCACACTAGCATTTTAATGGGGTCTTTACAAATCAAACACAAAAGACAATACTAACCATTTTTTTTAGTTATGAGGATAGGTTGCTGACTAGACATACCATAAGGTACCAACATTTAATGAGGCAAAATCATCAGAAGTCCGTGTTACTAAATCAGGTATTACAGTTGCGATTTTCAATTTAGATCTCTAAAAAAACAATCTATGAAAATCAACAAACATCTCAGTGTTCGACCCAAGTAGCAAAAAACTACTTACAAAATATTGTAACCTTAAAAAAAAAATCAAGCTTTTCTAATATTGCACATACTGTTAATCTCACAGAGAAAAATAAATTGATAAAGATATGAATACTTATTTCTAGTTTTGTAAGTATCATTCTTACCACATGCATGCTACAAGGAAATTGTACCAGACATGCACCACAAAAGTAGCAGAATATTCCCTATCTCTTACAAAAGCTATTCAAGGAAGCAGAATTGTCATACCTTTTTATCCATATTCTCCAGCATCATTTTATGGGCTGGATGCACCATGAAATGTCAAAATAAAAACATAAAGATGCAATAAACAGCGGCAGTGAACTTGATCTTTGGTGACCTGACTTGGTGAGCTAGTGTTTTGCTGTTATTGGCTGCAATGTCCCAGTAAAAACCTACACTATTTTTTAGTTAAAAAAAAGACATTGCTCACACACATGGAATGCTTGTAAGTTTACAATGCTGGGAAAAGTATGTGACGGAAATTATGCAATGGCGGGCAGCTACTCATGCAGTATAGAGGAATGACGACGATGGAAAAATGGTCAACTTCAAAACAATCTCTTCTACACTTTCAGTTATTTTTACTCTAGCAGCAAAAGAGGGACGACGTTTGAAAATTTAAAAAGGGTGCTCTGTAACTGGCCTTCCGGACACCCCAAAAATTGGTCATGCATTTTTCCGTCACAAGATGGAATGTGAAAAATTTTAGGTACATGGTACACTGCTTTGGCTGGCAGGACAAGCGGTATTTGTGCATTTTTCAGAGAAATACATCCTCTATTGTGATTCTTGTTATCTCTTGAGCAATTTGGAGTGACAAAATTCTTCCCAGGTACAAATATACTTGAAAAAGACTCAAGGGATCTTCAGGTTGGCAGTGAATGGGGGAATGAGAGTCAGGAATTGGTCCCTCTATGCTACACTTGTATCTAAATGGTTAGGCTACGATTTGGCTACTGTTGCAAGCAGAACGACTACTAGAACAGTCACACAGAAAGGACAAACTCCATGCAGACACTGAACACAAGGATGCAAAACAACGTCCCCCACCAATCATGTTTCCCAATTCTTGTAAGAGGGAATGGAGATGGAATGATGGACAGGACTTCTTCACTGTTCCTTCACTCAAATGGACACATTCCAGTTCTCCTGTCTTGATACTCTTGCATGAGGCATTTGGAGCCTTTCAAACTGGGGTTTGTACACCCTTTCTTTATTTCCACCTTCTTCATCAAGGCAGATCAAAGTGGTTATACATCTGTAAGCATTTTGGTGATGTTAACATAGTTAGTGTTGGCTAGGGTGCAATTGGCGGTCTTGATGTTCTCCTCTCGGAAGTCCTCATTACTGTTGTTAACAGCCTCTTGAATTTCCATGTAGTCAGACTTGCTCATGGTTGACCCGCTGCGGCTCTTTTTCAGGTCCTCTGAGGAATCTATCTTGGGGACGCTGGTCACGTTAAGGTACTGGGCCTGTTCCTCTCCCTCTGTCTCTCGATGGTAGAAGTAGTTGAAGTTTGAGACTATGACAGGCACAGGCAATGCAATGGTCAGCACACCAGCGATAGCACACAGGGATCCCACGATTTTGCCTCCAATGGTAGTAGGAACCATGTCACCATACCCTACTGTTGTCATTGAAACCACAGCCCACCAGAAGGCATCTGGGATGCTTACAAACTGCGAGTCAGGCTCGTCCGCTTCAGCAAAGTAAACGGCACTTGAGAACAGGATGACTCCAATGAAGAGAAAAAAGATAAGCAGCCCAAGCTCTCTCATGCTGGCCTTGAGTGTTTGGCCAAGAATCTGCAGCCCTTTTGAATGCCGGGAAAGTTTGAAGATCCTGAAGACTCGCACTAATCTGATGACCCTCAAGATGGCAAGAGACATGGCTTGTTGACCTTGCTGACCATCTTCAGCTTTCTCTGCAAGCTCTGTTCCCAAGGTGATAAAGTAAGGTATTATAGCCACAATATCAATGATGTTCATTATATTGACAAAGAAGCCTGCTTTGCTTGGACATGCAAAGAATCTCACCAGGAACTCAAAGGAAAACCATATGATGCAAAGTGTCTCCAAGATGAAGAAAGGGTCAGTAAAGTAAGTGGAAGTATAGCTAATTGTTGAGTTGGAGTCGGTTCTGTATGCTTTGTGCATATCCGTTTCTTCATTGCGAAAAACTGGAAGTGTCTCCAGGCAAAAACTGACTATGGATATGAGAATAACCATGACTGAAATTATAGCAATAATCCGGGCAGGCCCTGAACTTTCAGGGTACTCAAAAAGCAGCCATACCTGCCTCTGAAACTCATTCTCTGGCAGTAGTTTCTCCTCTTCCTTAATAAATCCTTCATCCTCCCTGAACATCTCAATGGCTTCTTCCCCAAGCTCATAAAAACGTATCTCCTCTGAAAAAATATCCAGTGTCACATTGACAGGCCTCCGGAGCCTGCCGCCTGACTGGTAGTAATAGAGAATGGCATCAAAACTTGGGCGGTTCCTGTCAAAAAAGTACTCATTTCTCAGAGGGTCGAAGTAGCGCATTCTCTTTTTAGGGTCTCCAAGCAATGTCTCTGGGAACTGAGACAGAGTTTTGAGCTGCGTCTCAAAGCGCAGACCAGAGATGTTAATGACCACCCTTTCGCAGCACTCATGGTCTGGTTCCGGGTCATATGTGTCCTGTGGCTGACCCGGGAGAGCTGCGGCTTCATCGGCTGGGTCACCCGTGGCAACAGTCATGCTGTGAATGAAGGCAACCTGCAGTTTAGGGTCAGGATGCAATGGTTGTTGCTTCTAAAAACTTCAGTGGGGAAATGTGGGACTCCCTTTCAATTGTCAGCCCCCTTTTCTTGCATTAGATCCAAGGAAACACTGAAAAAAATACAGAGGCAGAAAAACAATTACTTGAGCCAAACAAACATGCAGGAATTTACTGTGCTCACTTAATATGTATTTCTTGTACTCCATAGTGGGATTTCTAATTTTCCCTAGACAATGCAGCATTTTATTTTTGAGCTAATATAGAAATTGAAGCAGTATGAAGGCAATGCACAAGAAAGTGAAGCAGTATGAAGGCACTGCACAAGAACCCAGAGCAAACACACAGAGAAAAGCTCTAGAAAACCACGGCTTCTAAAAACATCTATCAATCATATGGAGAAGTCGGCTTGACCACTTTACACATTGTATTTGCTTTTATCTGCCAAGTAGATCAATACTTACTGTGGCAAGGCTGTATCATTCCTCTTTGGATTCAATTATGCACTGTAAATCTAATAACAGCCTGAGTGCACTTAAATCATAATTGGATATTCCAAAACCTTCCAAAATGCATTTCACCAAGACAGGAAGACTGCTTGAGATAGAAAAGTTGCAGAAATATATCTGTATACTATTGCTCCCATCCAATAGTTTTATAAACGTATGAAGCATGACATGAATATTATTGTCCAATAATTCCCAAACATATAGTCATATATAGACATCTTAGATTAACTATTTCAGTATTCCTGATTTCTATTTTTAGAAATAGTTCATATGCCCAATTTAGAACAAGAATTGTTATTGTGACATTTAAAATGTATGCTTTTATACTAGTATGCTACAAGATCAACATATAGTATATTATAATAAATTTAAATAAATTTATTCTTTTTTTGGGGGGGTTTAGTCCAGGCACGTCCAAACTCAGTCCTGGAGGGCCGGTGTCCTGCAAAGTTTAGTTCCAACCCCAATCAGACAATCCTTGGCTAGCTAATCAAGCTCTTAACTAGGCTTTTCTATAAACATCCTTGCAGGTGTGTTGAGGCGAGTTGGAGCTAAAATCTGCAGGACACCGGCCCTCCAGGACCAACTTTGGACATCCCTGGCTTAGCCCCTTTATTAATCAGGGGTCGCCATGGTGGAATGAACTGCCAACTTATCCAGCATATGTTTTATGCAGCGGATGCCCTTCCAGCTGCAACCCAACGCTGGGGAACACCTATACACTCTTGCATTCACACACATACACTCCAGCCAATTTAGCTTTTTTAATTCACCTATAGCGCACATCTTTGGACTCTGGAGGAAACACCTGATGGAAACCCAATCAAACACAGGGAGAACATGCAAACTCCACACAGAAATGCCAACTGACCAAGCTGGGACTCAAACCAGCGAACTTCTTGGTGTTAGGGGATCGTGCTACCCACTGCACCACCATGACGCCTGTTTAAAAAAAATTTCTAAATAATCAAAAACAAATTATTGGAATACTCCATATTTTGGCCAATAATTTGTTCAAATGAAGCATAATGGCAAATAATCATTCTCATGAATATTAGAATGTCTTGTGCATTTAACAGCTTTCCTTCAGTTTAAACTAAACTGTTTTTTATAGAATATGCTGGGTTTTTTTTAAGCTTTATTTCCAAATAATCTCCAAATATGCCCATTCTGGTTAAACTGGCAGGTTAGCCGGTAAACTGGGAGGTCGAGCCACTGAACAAAGCCCAACAGGGTGGAAGACGTTTGCAAACAAACTTGTGTTTTTCTACAGTTGAAGTCAGAATTATTAACCCCCCTTTGATTTTTTTTTTCTTTTTTAAATATTTCACAAATGATGTTTAACAGAGCAAGGAAATTTTCACAGGATTTCTGATAATATTTTTTCTTCTGGAGAAAGTCTTATTTGTTTTATTTTGGTTAGAATAAAAGCAGTTTTTAATTTTTTTAAACACCATTTTAAGGACATTATTAGCCCCTTTAAGCTTTATTTTTTTAATAGTCTACAGAATAAACCATCATTATACAATAACTTGCTTAATTACCCTAACCTGCCTAGTTAACCAAGTTAAGCCTATAAATGTCACTTTAAGCTGTATAGAAGTGTCTTGTAAAATATCTTGTCAAACAGTATTTACTGTCATTATGGCAAGAAGATAATGAATTAGTAATTAGAGATGAGTTATTAAAACTATTAATATGTTTAGAAATGTGTTGAAAAATTATCTGTGTAAAACAGAAATCAAGGAAAAAATAATAATAATTCAGGGGGACTTATAATTCTGACTTCAACTGTTTATCAAAATGTTACAAAATACAGAATTTTAAAAGCTAAGAGTACCCTAAATCACACAAACAAATGACTCTTTGGAGTTAATTTTAAACACTAATTAAACACATTCACGTAGCTTCTGTGGTTTATTGTAACAAACACACTAATCGAATTGTCCAAAAATTAGTCCCACATCCACAAACTGCAATAAGCATAGGGTAGTTACGCAAGCTTACCTGCAAGCATCCCCAACGCGCCAGAGAAATAACTTGTTAAATGATTATGTTTACATGACACCAGCAGAACTAATGAACCGTCTGGTTGCCAGGGTCATTGATTTCTTTCAGCAGCCTTTCATTACAGGTATACTGCAAAGATCCTGCTCTTCCCCCTGCTCGCTGCGCCAGATCTCCTGCGCCGGTCTCGAGCAGATCCAGCCGTAAACGCCTTCAGGATGCACGGGAAGCATACAGCGGCGCGTCTCTGAGAAATGAACGAAGGGGAGCTCCCTCAAGGCGTTATTTGCAAAGAGCTTTCCATTGAAACGGTCCAAAGATGCTAAGGTCAGCAAAATCTGCCGCCCCCAGTGTCCTCACAGTGTTGCCTCGACTCAATTCAGAGATCTGCAAAGAAACAGGGGAGCTGTTTGCGTTGGGCGTCGCCTCAAACATGCTAGCATCACACAAGATAGTAACATACACAATAAGAGATTGAGGAGAATTGCCTGAATACGAGCTTGACGGCCGAAATGATGCTCTGAGGAGTGGCAGCATCTTGTTGTTGAGCAAACGTGCTCATCTTATGGGCGAAAATCCATAGAGCATCAGATGTTCCCAGTCATAATTTGGGTTGTTTTTTGTTTGTTTGTTTTTCCCCCTTGCACACCGCGTCCGTTTAAGGGTGTTGTCCAATTGTCCCCAAAAATGATTTTTGGTTTACGAATATTCAGATCCCAGGCTCATGCACCCTTGAAAAACACATCACACCGGCTGTGCTCAGCGTTTTAACCCGTTAAGCGCGAGGTGTCTGCAGCGACATGCTTCAGCGATAGAGAGGCTCCAAGCTCTAGGTGGATGATCAAAGCATGCCCATGCATTACTGTGTTAAAGGCATTCACGCATTTCCTTTCATTCAAGGCATCGATGCATTAACGCATGCATAAACTAAGGGAATAGAAAGACCAATAAAAAATGTATAAGTCAACCTTCCCGAGTTGTTTTCAAGATGCAAAATATCCATGGAGAAATGCTCCGGTATTCCTCTTGCGCTTACTTGTGTTTTCCTCCTTCATTTTAGGGAGTGGCGCGGCGCGAGCGAGCCATTCATCTCAAAGTCCAACTTTTCGTCTTTTACTCATAATTGTTGTGCAAGGGCGAGCAGTTCAGGCTGCAGTTGAGCACTGCTGCGCATACAAAGGCATACAGTGAGCTGCTGCTCCACCAAGGCTGTACAGCGTGGGCAAATTAAAGGAGACGCGCCTCCTCTGCGCTATAAAGATGATGGTGATGATGATGGAGCATCACTGCTCCACAGCTCTCACTTATGAGTTTCATCTAGTATCATAAAATTATTATAACAGCTTATATTACACAATTGTTCATAATGAATATTACACATCATGAAAACAACCGGAAAACAGTGTGTGTATGTGTGTTAAATAAATAATTATTTATTAATCCACAATTCATAAAAGTTTAAAAAAAGTGTTGTTATTCTTATTATTATTGGCGTCACAGTGGCCCAGTGGGTAGCATGATCGCCTCATCAATGAAGGTCGCTGGTTCGAGCCTTGGGGTCAGTTGGCATTTCTGTGTGGAGTTTGCATGTTCTCCCCGTTCGCGTGGGTTTCCTCCAGGTGCACCGGTTTCCCCCACAAGTCCAAAGGCATGCACTACAGGTAAATTTGATATGCTAAATTGTCCGTAGTGCATTTGTGTGGATGAGTGTTAATGGGTGTTTCCCAGTGATGGGTTGCAGCTGGAAGGGCATTCGCTGCGTAAAACATATGATGGATAAGTTGGTGGTTCATTCCGCTGTGGCGACCACGGATTGATAAGGGGACTAAGCCGAAAAGAAAATGAATGAATATTATTATTAATATTATTATTATTATTATAGTATTACCCTTAATGTAAGAACTTAAACTAATGGCATTCGTAGTAGCAATTAAATTATTTTACAATATGATGTTTACATATGGGCATCACGGTGACAGTGGGTAGCACGATTGCTTCACAGCAAAAAGGTCAATGGTTGGAAAAGAAAATTAATGTTTACGTATTACATATTGTTTTTTTACATATACTTTTTGTATATTTAGATTATGTTTTACATTTGTAATTATTTATATTCATTAAACAAATGCACATGCGCATAATGTATTATGAGTATAGTTTAAAGGAATGTATTGTTTGAAATACAATTATTAGGTTATTATTATTTATCTTCTAATGATTATTAAATTTACACCCCTATGATTGATTATTGTCTTCACTTGCTCAACAGAAAGGGCTGCGATCGGCTTTAGAAATGAAAGCGCTGTTCACCGATGGCGTGAAGAACAGCCGCAGTTACAGTCTATAGGTGCATAATACGTGTCTGGATCCACTAGTATGGCTTTAACAGCCAAGAGGAGAGGAAAAGTTACCTCACAATACATGCTATTATAGAAACATGGCACCTATCAATCAATTCGGTGGGCAGGGAAAGCTGCACTTCAACGTCATGTTTAAATCACTGGGATTTTGGTCCTATTTTAACGTCAGGACATTTAAAAAAATTTACTTTTTGGGTTTGTATCATTCCAGTATGGCAGTTGACACACTATACATACAGACAGTTCTGTCCAGACAGCTTACAGAAGTTGATTTTCATCAAAAAGATGCTTTTTAAACACCCATCACACCCCACCAGATATGTCATCCATACCCAATATGAACCTTATCTTAGGAATCTTACTCTTACAGTTGTCAGGGTGTTGTTTAACGGTCAGTGGATGTTTTACTCAACACACACTATATATATATATATATATATATATATATATATACACACACACACACAGCTAGGTTAAGCAATAGGCAAATTGTATTTAAAAATATTTTAGATATAATATTTAGTTATTTTAATTCAAATTATTTAGTGTAATTATAATTTTATTAAGTTGAACAGAATAGATTAACTGGTATTACAATACATAATATAGATTAATAAGGATTTAATTTAAAGAATTCAAAAAATATATACAGTAGGATTTAATTACATTGATAAAAATCTAGTCACTGCAACAATAATAACACAATTTAAAGTGGGCAGGGTTCATCAATCAAGTTTTAACAAATACAGGCCCATACTGACTACTACTGTCTAACCCTCAATGGATCCCTCAGTGCAGTCCCCATCTTCAGTCAAAAATTTAAGGGTTAATTTGAGGGTGACCTGTCATTTACAGCCTGATCTCATGAGGAAACGTATTTTGTTTTGTCAATTTGGCTAATTCATACGAATTCGTACGAGTTCAGTCGTATATTTATTGCATTTGAAATCAAAACTAACAAGCAAAAACATATACATGCATGCGTGAGGAAAATGTCTCAACAAAATCCCGTTATCACAAGAAAATACATTTTTATAACATAATTGAGTGACCAAAAGATACACGGACCACTTACTGGCACTGCTTGACATGAATGAATCTGTTAACGATAATAACTGTGCTGTTCTCACGGGTGATGTCTGATATTGCACTGATGCTTTTGACATATACCCTATTATTTGCACACGTCATTTTAAAAGCAGTACCAGTCTTTTCATAAGCTGAAATATTAGTTTATTCTTAGTCAGTGTAAGCCCTTTTGCGATGGTGTACATGGTGTTAAATTGTACATATAGCTGCAACTTGCACGGCTGACAGCATCTGGTGAATAAATGAAGGAATAAACAGAACCCCTCGTGCTTAATATGTGTAGATGTGGCAAACAGTTACCAGAAAATATCATCCCACAGACTTTACAGTGAATGCTTTTGTTATTTTCATAGTGGACTTGAAGCCAAAGGAAGTCTTTTATCCACTCTTGAAATAGTGTAGATGGTGGATTAACATTCATCACATGATCAGTAACGTTAATCTGATGTGCCATTATTTGTAGATTTAGGTGGTTTCTAAAACAAAATCTGTCAGTGTTTTCATTCTCATTTTCAGCGCGTTACATTTTCGCGGTTGTTGCTCAGCTCTCCCTGTCATCTGTATGCAGAAGGCGTTGACTGAGTGGTTGACAGCTGATTTTAACCAATCCATTCGTGTTCAGTTCTAGAGCAGTGGGCCAATAAGAAGAGCGCGAAGGCGGGCAAGCTTTGCTGTCTTTGTTTACTGACATGTCAACTGTTTTAAAGTGTTCCTGAGCGCAAGAGCAAAGATGCATTCTGCTTGAATGTGTCAATACTTTATGAATTTAGTCAAAGTGGACCGTTCCGATGACCCAGGCAAACTGTCCACAGTTTTCTCAACATTTTTAGATTAGCGAATTATAAATTCTATCTGTGCAGATGCGGTTTTTCACATCCAGATGCATGCTGCATTGATAACTAGCGAGTTTTTTGCTGCACAGTTATGCTGTTCCATTCATGTTTTTAAAAAATACTAACTTTAGTAATATCTTTAAACAAATCTAAAAATAGTAGCTTTCACTTGTAGTACTGAAAAAAATATATTATAATCACTGAAATTTACACAATTTTTAAATCACTCTTGCGACCCCTTGGAATTATTCGGCGTCCCCCAGTTTGATAACCACTTCTTTAAAGGATTATTTAGTTCAAGTAATGACCACTTACCTTGGGTTCTGTTTTGACGATCCATGCACAAAGTGCAAAGCGCAGGGCGCAAAAGCATTAGGGCGTTTCCGAATCCACTTTTACAATTTTAAGGATGGAAAAATCCGCTTTGCGCCCTGGCGCATGGTCTAACAGGGTTGAGCTTATTCTCTTAATGAGTTATAGGTAGGTTTTTAAAATAAACCAATCAGCGTATCATCTCAAATTCCATTTAAGAGTCAGTTGTATTGCGCCATGACGCATTTGCTATTTACACGGCGGACTAAGTAAGTTAAAAAGCTGAACGCTTCACTAGTTAAACAGTTAAACAGAGCATCTGTAGCACAAGAATGAGAGAATGAGCCTCCTCATTCTTTACATTCACTTTCACTCTTACAGATGTTATATTATACATAAATAATTTATAAACAAAAGATTTGTTTCAAAACTATTTCTAAATTCAGTTTTAATTTTCAGCAAACGAACAATAATAAATGAACAATAATAACAAAGTGTGGTCAAAAAACTGAGTTATTTCCAAATACACATGCTGTGCCACTTATGGTCTAAAACCTGACATATGGACAAATCTAAGCTTGTGTTAAATAAAACAAATATAAATATGCATATAATAAATAATACTGCTAATAATAATAACAATATTATACAAAAGAAAAATTGTCATGAATGAACTAAAAAAGCCCCTGAGATGAAGGTTGTGGTTTTTATATTTATGTAGGCTTAAAAAAATTATCATTTTTATAATATTTTAATCCTTTAATTCTTTTTCATTTGTAAAGATATTTGTGTATTGCTGTAAATCCTGTGTGTATTAAGCAATGTGTAAGCGAGGCGCACAACTAACGCGCTCTGAGCTGGACTTTAGACCTGCTTTGATCTGGTCTATTGTGCAGTCTATTAAAGTTCCTCAAAATAACTCACAAAACGTGCCAGCAATGCGCCTTTACATGCCTCCTTTTAGACAAGAAAATCTAAGGGCGCACATATGAGCGCTAATGCATTTGCTATTTAAACAGCGTGCCGTAAAACGTCAAAATGACTCTTGCGCCAAGCTGAAACTAGCAAACAACAATTGCGTCGAGCCTTGCGCCGAATTGCGCCGGGTGTATGATAGGGCCTATGGGCTTCTATTCAATAATAAATATTTTTTTAAAAACTGTATCTTGTAATGTCTGTGTGCGTGTGCAAATATTTTCATTCATTCATTTTCTTGTCGGCTTAGTCCCTTTATTAATCTGGGGTCGCCACAGCGGAATGAACCGCCAACTTATCCAGCAAGTTTTTACGCAGCGGATGCCCTTCCAGCCGCAACCCATCTCTGGGAAAGTGTGCAAATATATGTGATTAATTCTATTAATTAATCACCAAACCATATACTTGATTAAATGAAAAATCTAAAACATAAATAAACATTTTCTGAAATATATTTATGCATGCATGCGTGTATTTATACATCATACATATACATGGTACACACACATACATATACATGGTACACACACACACACATATGTTATGTCAAAACAAACTTTTATTTGGGATGCGATCAATTGCGATTAATTTTGAGCACCGCTAGTTTTTTGTAAGCTTATAGATTTCAGACTGCATGCTAATGCTCACAGAGGCCTGGCTGCTGGAAGACCTGAATCTGTCTGTTCATTTATAACGCAATGGTGGAGTTACAGCGGGTCCATGAGGGAGGTGCTGGAGTCTCTCAGGGGACTGTTGCTCTGTTTGTTCATATAGAGAGGACGAGCTGTGCGTGCCTGCATGAACAAGCAGAGAGAGAGAGACTGAACACAGACACTGGATGTT